AAATAACATGAGGTATCCTAAGGAAAACAAATCTGTGGATCTACAGATGAAAACAATCCCAAGCCATGAGCAGCTTGTGTTTACAAAAATGAAATCACACTACAAAGCATGACTTCTTTTACTGTGGGTATTAAAGACAGTGGATGAAGTGGAAGTTACAAATAAATAAAGTCAACTTTGTATTTCAGTAAAAAGACCTCACTAACAGATCTTAACTTGAAAAACTAGTTCAAATGCACTGAACTATGCAAGATTGCATGTCTCACCTTAGGTAAATTATTGGCTAACATAGGAAGTAGGAATGACAGCATTTCAGTGAAATGTACTGTATAGTTAGGACCATTGAAAGGTAAATAGTAGGTCAAAATTTACTTACTGTCATCACCAAAAACAATCTGAGAATGATAAGAAAAGGCATATTTCTGCATTCGCATATGCATTTCTGAGAATATGTTATGCATAATCACCAACATTTCCACACTTAACTCTCCTCTTCCCAGCATCCAAGGGGGCCCAGGACCGTATTCTGATGTTAAGAAAGTTAATCCTCCATGTATTCTGATCCTCTCCTCTTAATTTTTTTATTCTAAGTATTATCTCTAGCCCCACTTGCCCATCTGACTTATTTCTCTTCACAGAAGCTTAATGTAAGGTAAACGTCACTCACAACAGTTAGACACAATGAGTTTTATTACAGGAAAAAAAGTTAAGCTAAATAGTACTTCCCAAAGAGTGCTCCATGAGAAGTTATTAATTATGGTGAAAACAAACTGTGCCTATAAGCAAACTAGATCGAAAACAAAACAAAACAAAAAAACCCTCCAATTAAACACAATTTCACGTGTTTCCAACTTAAGAATGTATACAAAACCTTTCACATGCTAAAGTGAATTGTGATGTCTAAGGGAGATCTAGAATAAGCGGTATCAACAAATTCACTGAATTTTTCTTTTTTCAGTTAAGCTCCAATGATCACATTCTGAAATTACTGTTCTCATGGAGGCCACAGAACCCAGTTTGGATACTACTGCAGGAAAAGGAGTAAGCATAATGTGATATTTGTTACAACCGCCTTTTAATAAGATGGACATTTCCACATGGACGGCAGATATAGGTAACTTACGATGGTATCAATGCATTGATCATTCCAAGGCAAATTCATATCATTTGTGTTCCACAGAGGGAGTAGTGAAATTTGTGCTAGAAGCATCCTACTTTTCTCATCAAAGTTCATTTTTTTCAGAAAAGATGAACTATTTCACTCTTCATTCTTACAGAAGAATTTTGCTTACCAAACCCCAGAACTATCTTTACAATGTGCTTTAATTTAAAAATTTAAAAAAAAATCAAATTGAATAAATTTAAAGTTTTAAAAATTCTTAATTTAATTATAGATATAGTAGAGGCACTTTGAAAAAAATTCCGAAAATATAGAAGCATGTAAAATTAAAAGCAAAGTTTTCTCAATCTCACAACACAATTCTATTCATAGGTCTATGTTCAAGAGAATTAAAAACACGGTCACACAAAAAATTTTATGCAAGTGAACAGCAGTATTTCAAACAATAGAAACAAGGGGCTAGCACATACAATGGTAGTTAAGGCACGTGATTCCTACATGGTTTGTGGGGACACGTTTAAGAGAGAGAATCTGAGGTGTGGGGACATACTCTGAGCAAACACCACCTGCTCTTTTGGGGTTTGGCAGAACCTTGTAACTTGTCTTTCGCTGACCTTGGCTGCAGACAGAGCAAGGGTGGAAATTACTAGGGGCGTTCCAACAGACACATCTGATGGACTTCAAGAAACATCTTGACCCCAATTAGTAAAATCTAATCCCTGCTCTGCATTTGAAAGGTTCTTTAGACTTCTCTGGGTGTGGTGGTACACTCCTTATAGAGAAGTTCTTTAGCTCCTTCCCCATACCTAACAGCTAGTTCTCTGCATTAGAAAAGAAGATGAGATCTTCTCTTGATGGGATTATCACCAAGGGATACACCTGGCCTGGTATAACTAAGCTCTCATAGATTTGTTAATTACTTCTTATTGTCTGTAACCAGGCAACCCATCTACGAAGTATCATGAAACATACATGTGTAATGTCTCCTTGTACTATAAATAAAGACGTCCAGTTCCTCTGGGTGGCACAAGTTGCTTGGGCTACCTAGGCTCAGGCTGCCTGTGTCCATTTCTATTCTATCCCTTTGTCTCATTCTTTCTAATTCCCAGGTCCTGGCAAGATGGAGGGCTTTCTCTTTCTCATCCTTTCTCTTCCTCACCAGCAGCCCCCTGATCATGATTCAGCCAGACCCAAGCCCTGGGGCAGATGCCGACAATGGATGAACTCGGTTTGAGTCCTGAACCTGGAAGCTTGAAAATCATGTTGGGCGTGCCCAAAATCCCAGCAAGAAAATGGAGGAGAAGAGATTGTAGGGTGGCCATCCCTTCTAGGGTAATTTCTCACTTTCCCTCTCTCTCTCTCTCTCTCTCTTTCCAAAGAGTGCATGTGCACTATGGCAAAACCCTAAAGAACAAAAAGAAGTAGGAAAAAAAGTCCATTCACTCTGAACTAACATAATATATTATTGTCACTGTAATATAGTATGTACTCTAAAATAAGGAATGATGTTCTGATACATACTATGACATGGATAGAATTTAAAAACAATATACTGTGTGAAAGAAGGCATAAAAGACAATATATTATTGCATTATCCCATTTATGTAAAATACTCCAAATAGGAAAATCCACAGAGGCAGAAAGCCGATGAGTGGTCGCTGGGGTATGCAGGGAGATAGCAATGGGGAGTAATTTCTAGGAGATACAGGGTTTCTTGTTGATGTGATGGAATGTTCTGGAATTAGATATTAGATTAAATAGTTTCACAATCCTGGGAATATATACTAAAATCTCCTGTACTTATAACATGGTTAAGTGTATGTAAAGTGTAAGTAATATATTTTAGTTTTGGTTCTGTCTTTTTTTTTTTAATTTTGCTATAGGGCATGTGCATTAGCAAGAGAGAGGCACAGACAGAGAAAGCGGGGAAGGAAAGAGAAATTACCCCCCGGGGGCATGACAATGCTGCAGTCCTGTCTTCTCCATTCTCCTCTTGGGATTTTGAGCATGGGTACGCACATGCCCAGAGTGATTTTTAAGCCTCCTTAAACTGTGAATCCACTATATAGGGTCTAGATGCTTTAACTTCCTTGCACCTGCAGGCCCAATTTTTAATGTTAAAAAAAACTTCACTCATATAGTTAGAATCTCTAAAGTACCTGTTATGTGCCAGCACAGTTATAAATGTTTTAGTGCATTAACTCATTCAATTACCAAAATAATTTCATTAGACATCTTTTACAAGTATGGAATTATCAGATTGAATCATTTGCCCTAAGTCATCTTTTTTGTTTGTGTGTGTGTGTGTTTTGTTTTGTTTTTGCTATAGGGCGAGTGTGTTTGCCAGAGAGCAGAGAGACAGAGACAGAAAGCAAGAAATCACTCCCCCGGGGGGATGGCCACTCCACAATCCCTTCTCCTCCACTCTCCTCTCAGGATCTTGGGCACGCATGTACATGCGCCTGAAGTGAGTTTAAGCCACCAGGTCTGGGACTCTAACCATGGTTGGCTACATGAGAGTCCAGTGACATAGCCATTATGCCAACTGCTGGTCCCAGAGTTGAGTTTTTAAAACCAGGAAGTCAGGACTTTCCTGTACATACCAGGTGTGCCTGTGATCTGGACTGGCTGAGACCGGCAGTGGATTTTGGGATGAGACCGGCAGTGGATTTTGGGATAAGGACCCTACTGGGAGTGCTGTCTCTCTGATTTTTCCTCTTTGTCCCTTTCATGGAAGAATAAAACTTTAAAAAAAAAAAAATTTAAAGGTTCCACTAAGTCAGGGTGAATTCAATGTGAAGCTAAGCAGGCATTACATGGGAGCCTACCCTATTATGAATTAACCCTTGGGCTGAAGATCTTCCTTAGAGAAACTAAGTAAGGCTAATTTCTTTAATCTTGTGCAAAGAAAGTTCTAGTAGGTCACAGAGTGTTCCAGGAACAGAATCTAGAATTGGAGATACATGTGGGAGACTTTGGAATGTAGACTCTGAGGATATAATCATTGGCTTGATTTGGCTTTTAGCCTCCGATGTCTGTAATTTCATGAATTTAGAACTATTCATACTATTAATATCATTAGCATGGTCTCAAAACCATGCTCAAATGTTTAATACAGTGACGCTTCAGAACTACTGAATTCCATAAAGGAGGTGACTACTCTGTGAAGAAATATTTTCCTTATTAACTTTTTCTAAATCTGTTGAATATGAATGTTATAATAGTCTTTTAAGTCTTGTGCTATTTAAGTCAGAAAGAGAGGAAGTGACAGAGAGAGAGAGAGAGAGAGAAAGAGAGAAAAAGAGGAGAAAAGAATGAAAAAGAAGCAAAAACAAAGGAAGAGAAGGGCTCCAAAGGAAAGAGAAAGAAAAGGAAAGAAAATCCATTTCTCTAAAATATGTTTCCTAATTCTTTTTCAAAATACTGGACTACAGACTGTATTTCAGAAAACAGTTTATTTTATTAATCATAAATAAGGCCTAAAAACCAAAGGGGGGGGGAGAACAATTACTGAAGCATACTCTTTTTAATTCTAGTAAGCAGTACAGATGGTCTAGCACACAGAGACATGGAGATTTAAAGAACATGCTGGCTTTATAAACATAAGGTATCAGAGATTCCAGTTCAAAGGGACAGATTATGAGCCTTAGAGATGGGAGAGAAGTTCTGAGACTTTTCTCAGGCTGTACTCCATGAGCTAGTAATACCAGTTTCTGCAGTAATGCAGGAATGATTGCAAAATGGTCAGGTTCTATAAACATACTGGCAAAGCCTAACTTCACATTTAAGAGAACAATATTTTTTTAAAAAATAATAAAAACTAATCTTTAAAAACAAACCTTTACTTCTTCTGTGTATGGAAAGGAGGAAATCAGCTTACCTGTATCAAACCCCACACTTGGCACTATGTCCACTGTTCCATGAAAGGCTCCAGCCCATGCTGAGGTAGCAGTGGTGACTGTAGTCGGGTCTGTCTTTGCGACGTCACACTGAGGAGCAGGAATCCTGGCCGCACGCATGGACGGCATCAGCAGGGGCCCATAGGATGGATCCAGGGCAGAGCCAGCAGAAGGATGGTGGTGGTGATGGTGGTGGTGGTGGCGGTGGTGCATGTGGGCATGGGGATGGTGGTGCCGCATGTACACGTCATGCACGTGGCTGTAAGATGGGCTCACCTGAGATGCCAAAGGATAGTGCCAGGACTCAGACACAGCAGGGGCAGGGGCTGGGCCAGTCTGATGCAGACCGTGTCCTGGCCAGGGGCTGGGTTCAGCGGTAGAAAAGGTGCCAGGAGGTGCAGGGACCTGAAAATCAGGATGAACTCCCCCTAGACAGGGTGCAGGTGGGGGCTGGTAAGAGCTGGTCCAAAAGGAAGTTGGGAAACCACTCCGCTGACTTGAGAGAGCTGAGCTGTCTGAGAAGACGGAAAAAAAAAAAAAAAAATTTACATAAGATTCAGTTCTGGGATAGACTTGCCTTTACTTGTTCAATAATATTTTACAAGTAGGAGAGTCTGCATGCCCTCTTTTTCTCCCTACACAGGGCTGAAATGACACCGGGGTGGCCTCTGGGTTCCTGTGCACAATTCAAGCACTGAATGGCCTCTCCCTATCTGCTCTCCTAGCTGATGCTGTCACAGCCTGTCCTAGTCTGCAATTTGGGGATTTTAAAGCTCCATTTCCTCCTGGTGTCTTGCTATCATGTGGTCTGACAAAAGGTCAAAATTATGCAAAAAAATGTTTTTTACTATAGCTGGAAATTATGTAGTTGGAAATGATCATTTTTACCAATGTCTTTTAATGTAAAAATACTTTTCATTCAAATAAGACATTTTAAGGCCAAAAGTAATGAATGGAAGTAAGACCACACTTAATTATGCTCATCACCTCCCACTTTCCATTAAGAATAATATATCCCAAACTTAATATTTTTCTTCTTCTTTTTCTTTTTGTTTTTCCTCTAGAGATCTAGGAATCTCTGGACTGAGAATAAGAGTGGTTAACATTTAATGATAGCAATTGAATGTGTAATACAAGACCAGTGGCTTTTTATGGTTGATCTCATAGGATCCTCATCCCAACTCTATAAGAGTTATTGCTATTATGACCATTTTAGAGAGAAAGAAATCCAGCAGGTAGAACCTTGACAAGACCTTGAAGCCAGGTAACCAGCCTCAATGGCCAAAGGGTGGTACTCTTCATCATGTGCCACAAGAGGGCACAATTGTAACTATTATACAACCTGAACATCTACCGCTCCCTGAGTTTTCTGTGGAAACCTTGAGTGGAAGAGATTCAAATAGAGGTAGTGATTTAAGGAAGCATTTGGGAAGAGAGAAATATCGAAGAATAGCATATGGAGATAAGTAAGGAAGGAAAAGGAAGAACCCTTCCCTAAATCTGCATCTGTTCTGTTTCTCTGCTCAAGCATCCTAACACATTTACAGGTGGCCTATAATGTACCAAGCATTATGAGATCACAGATGACAAGCGAGACAACACTTTTAGCCCCAATATGGAGAAAGAAAATTAAATAAACTGATATGTATGATGAACACATGGTACTTAAGTGTTCTTTTTGTTTGTTTGTATTTTTTTTTTGAGAGAGAGAGTTTTGTTATAGGGCGTGTGCGCTTGCCGGAAAGATGAGAGACAGAGAGACAGAAAGTGAGAAATCACCCCCTCCCCGATGGGATGGCCACGCCGCAATCCCTCCCCTCCATTCTCCTCTCAGGATCTTGGACATGCATGCACAAACGCCCGGCGTGAGTTTAAGCCACCTGGTCCAGGACTTGAACCACGATTGACTACATAGGAGTTCAACAACATAGCCATTATGCTAACTGCTGGTCCTAGTACTTAAGTGTTCTTACAAGAAGACGCACCAGACAGAGCACCAAACCAGCCTACGAGAGTAATAATAACAAGGTTGAAGCTGAAAGGTCGAGTGGAGGTTAGCCCAGCAAAGAGAAAGGGGGAAGAACTGTAGTAAATGGAACATCATTTGACTAAAGGCCACATATTATATAAACACACACAACAACAACAACAGCAAGTAGCAGCAGTATTTGAGAGACAAAAAAAGCCAAAAAACAAAAAACAAAAAAAAGAGTTCAGTTCCTTCATCAAGCAGAAGGTGGTAACAAAAAAATAAAAAGAACCACAACAGTAATAAGGACCCACATGAGTGTGGCCTTAATGACCATGGTACTGAATGTGGACTCTGTCCTGAGGGGGGTTCCAGTGGGCGTAGAGTGATTTTAAGGTAGAAAGGGACATAAGGAGATCCGCGTTAGAAAGCTCACCTTCCCTACCGAGTACAGTCTGTTACCACGAGGTGTAACTAACTGAGGAAGCACTGAATCTACAGTCTCAGGCACCCAGCTTTGACGCCAGCTCCTACCCTTTCTCACTCCATGACCTCAAAAGGACCTGTTGATCTACCTGTGACTTAGTTTCTTCCACTGAAAAATAAAATATTTCAAATAATTTAATTCAGCTTCTTTTCTGGCTCAATACTTCCATTATTCTGTGAAGTATACTATTGATTAGTTCTAACTATAGATAAAAGACAAGGTTGCTAAAGACATTTTTAGCATGAATAATAAGATAATATTTTTATACTAAGTTCCACATAAAAGAACCTTACTCGATCTTTCTAGTGGAATGAAAGATACCCTAAGAGGCAGTCTGAATCAAAAGTATTCAAAAGTCTGACATATCTATGGTCTCACTTCATAAATTCCCACAACATAGTTCTTGTGCCTCAGGGAAAGCTTAAATAACCTGAAACACTACCACATCATTTGGGTAACATAATGAGGCTATGACTATGTGCTCTAAGATTTCCTCTCTCCAACATCCCTAAAGACTGTGGCACTAGCACCACAAACATTTCCATTCTCGAAAGGAATGAGAAGTTGACTGACTGACTTCTGGTCAGCCCCATACGTGAGCTATCATCACTCACCCCATTGATCTCATAGGCCAGTTACGTACTTTCACACCTAAGTCTCTTCCTCACAGTATTTCCATGGACCTCTAACCCTTGGGGGTACCTAGAAAATGATGTTCTTTAAGAAGCAGTGGATAGAAGTACATACTCTTCAAATCTTCGAACATTTCCAGCAAACTTTTTTTTTTTTTTTTAGGTTTTGCCATGTGCTTGCCAGAGGGAGACAGAGACAGCGAGAGAGAAAATGAAAACCAGAGGAAATGGTCATGCTGCAATCCCTTCTTCTCCATTTTCCTCTCAGGATTTTGAACACACATAGAGTATGATTTTCAAGCTGCCAGGACCAGGACACGAACCATGGTTGGCCATGTGGAAACCCATTGCCTTAATCATTATGCCACCTACTGGCCCCCTCCCAGTAAACTTTTTATCACATGACTTTGTAATGTCATAGTCACAATGATCAGAAAATAGAACTTAATTCAAACGTCCTGGGATTGGAGCAAATCTGTTTTATTTAAGAAGTATCTCTTTGACATATGAAAAGTATTGCTAATAACGAGAAGGAAAACAGTGTGAGGGGTGAGAAGAAAATTCAGTTTGCTTTACGTGATGGCCATTTATCGAATATTTCTGTCCTGATCAAAATGAAACCTTTCATGTTTAAAGTTGAAAACCCACACAAGGAGTTTACAGAGCTTCCTTCTATGACACAGCTGACCTCTGCTATCACCACCATGTCACTTTGTTTCCACAATTCTCTTCTTTGAGACCAACACTTCATTCTGCTCACAACGTCTATCTCCTGGTGGGACAAGAATCCCAATATGAGAACTGTTGAACAACATACCAGAAATATGAGCCAGAGAGTCAGTTCCCTTATTTAAATCCTCTATTAAAACATCAAAAAGTACAGAGAGCACATACATTTCCCTGAGTGTTTTACTTTCTCCTTATTTATATGTACATGAAACCAGTCTTATTTTATAGAGGCTTAAGCATTTTAGAAATGAACAAGTTCCTTACCAAAAATATTATTGTCCCACTTATGAAGTATTGCATTGTGATTAGTGAACACATTATCATTGGAGATAGAAATATATATTTAAAAATTCACTCCATAAAGATGAAACAAAACTTTAAAATGCCCCCAAGGAAAGATAAAATTAGAAGCAACTTAATATTTTCCCAGTTGGCATGTCTCCCGAGATTAATATAAAGTTTGCAGAGATTTATGCAGCCCTTTTCAGAAACACTGTTGCATTTTACAAGTAAGGGAAAAAATATTAAATAGAAAATATGTTTATGAAGAAGTCTGTATTTCAGAATCATGATTTGGTATCTTTCTTGTTTAAAAATAAATCTGATACAAAGAAACAGATGACATGCTTTGTTTCATGCCTGAGAACCAGGGTACTTATTTGATGTGTACGTACATTTTTTTCATTACATGACTCTTTGATTATGACTACTTAATCACAGCCATATTTACTGGATAAAAAGACATGAAAAAATGCATACTGACAATCCAACACACATGAAAAACCGAAGTATAATTTGATTCCTTTGGCATTAGGGATTAAAAAAATATTACACAAGCACGTTTATTTCTGAACACAAAAGAAAAATGACAAAATTGACACATTATCCAACACAACCTACCCAAAGACTACCCAGTAACCTCTGTATATCAGAAACACACATTAAGGACATAGAAGAATTTAACATGGAATACTAAGACTTTCCCTCAGTCTTATGATTGCCAAAATACTTTTTTATACATTCGTCCTACGTGTCTCTTTGGGAAAAAAAACAAAAAAAACAAAAAAAAACAAAGGGCTAAGGATTTACTATTTAATGTCATACGGTAAATGTGGGCGCCACAGAGACGAGAGTGGGGAAGAGACCCTAATAGGGTCTAGTAATGCTGCAGTCCCCCTTTCCTCCTCTCTCAGGATCCTGGGCAAGTACACGCAAACACCTGGTATATTTTTGTTTTTTCTTTTTTTTTCGAGGTTTGTTTTTGTTTTTGTTTTTTTGTTATAGGGCGCATGCGCTCACCAGACAGACAGAGAGAGACAGAGAGCGAGAAATCACCCCCCAGGGGGGTGGTCACGCCGGAATCCTTTCTCCTCCATTCTCCTCTCGGGATCTTGGGCACGCACGGACACACGCCCGGCGTGAGTTTTAAGCCACCAGGTCTGGGACATGAACCGCGGTCGACTACGTGGGACTCCAGCGACATAGCCATTACGCTAACTGCTGGTCCCTGTTTTTCAAGCTGCTGAGGCTGGTATTTGAATCAAATTCTGTCATGTGGGATATGGCTTTCTCCACACAGTGCTTAACCACTGCACTCGAGGGCTGGCCCAGGACAAACAGTTTAAAAAGAAAATTCAAAATTTGATTTAAAGCATTACAAATTTTATTACTGAATTTGAAGAAAAAAAAACCTATTAA